TGTGTTTGGTGAGAATCAGTAGTTTACTGGTGCAGAGCTGCAGCTTAGAAACAGCTCTGAGGTGACTGCCGGTTAACGTGTTGTCTCAACTGGCTGCATTTCAGCCACAGTTTCCTCCTGCTGAAACAGAAAAACAAGTAAATGAGAAGCGCTTTAGTGGACATTACGCTGTATTAAACCCAGTACAGACAGCAGGAGGGAAGCAAACAGATGCAAATACTGAAGCACAACAGAAAACGAGAAACACATCAGCTTGGTTTCAGATTGGTCATAAAGTTTCTGATTGTTCCTCAATTGTTCCGTTTCCACGTGGCTCTGATCCGTTGGCATACAGTCAAAGCTCCTGGTGCCGTTGGACAGGATTCTCCCATCGCTGTGGTGAGATTAACGTCACACTCTTGTGTTCACTTGAGACAACGTTTAAGCTACATGATTATTGATATCTCTGTAAAAAACAAACAAACAAAAAACTTTACTCACATTTGCATGCAGCATTTAAAGCATGGAGCAGCTCAAGAGAAATTTTCAACTTCTTGAATATGCCAAGTAAATGCAGTGAATTAGAAAGCGGTTGTTCCCTCCCTCTTCTCTTTTATTTTGGGATTTATTTTGTTAATCTCTCAGTATGAACCGACAGACGGTCAGTGCTGGTCGAACTGAGCTCCAGGAGAGGAATGTGTGGAGTGAACAGGACACTGAATTTGTGGCTCGTTGGCCACGAATACCGATAGTTATCTTTCATCTACTCTCCAAGATCTTGTAGGAGCATTATCTTTTAGACGGGGCAAACAAATATCTGGTGTTCACGTCTGATGCTGCACTCTTTTCTTCCTTCTTCTTTTGGATTTTGCATGTGAGGAAAACATAAAGCTGTTCAAACAAAAGGTCTGAAAACTCCTGTGCTGTGCAGAGAAGCAATGATATGGTGGACATTCAGTGAGTGGTTATTGCTGAAAAATATGAACAGTTTCAGGGAACTCTCACAGATTCTGATGGTTTTATGGGCGATGGTTTGCTTCTTCCAGCCATGAAGGACAGTTATTAGTCACTGCAGTCGGTCTGAGCTCTATTCAGCTCAGTTTCCTTGTTTCTGTCCCTTCTGGGCGACCGTGGCATGCAATCCCTTGTTTGGAGGTTTAATGGATTTGGGGCTGGTTGCGAGTCGGGTGGGGAAATCTCAGTTATGTAAAACCTAATTATGAAGACAGACAAAGGCCCATTAATTGTTTGCTGGGTCAGAGTACGCAGGAGGACGGAGGCTGCAGGACTGCAAGAGTGAGGACGCCTCTGGGTTCTGCAGGAGAGAATCTGTGTGTTTTGATTTGATTGTATCAACAAAACACTGCAGACAAGCACACATCTCTTTCGTCTGACATTTCACAAGTATGCATTTAAAATGAAACATGTGACTTTTTCTTGTTTTTATGTCCATTATGTAGGATTTATGATCTTTTTCTGTTTTACACAGCTCTATGTGGGAAACCTGTCTAATCACAGATGCTACATGATTCAACTTAAATGTTGTTTCTCAGGCTCCAGATCATTAATTACAACAAAGCCATGTTTAGCTGATTATTTAAGGGACTAAAATACATCAGTTTTCCCCCCCAATGCCTGATAACCAACTCACTGGAAATACGCTGTGCAGGGACTCAGGATGACTTTGTGGACTTTAAACTGGACATCCTCCACCTTGGTGACTGCATCGGAGAAGTCTCCATTTAAAAAGTGCTCGTAGAAGTAGCGCGAAGGCCAGCTTTGTTCGCTCATCTTGAGTTTTGTTGAAAAAGTTTTCCCAGTCTTTGAGCTGCTGCTTGGCCTCTGGTTGGCTGAGTTCTGACAGATTTCTGAGTCAAGTGTATAAATGTCTCCATGTGATTCTGGAATATAACAGCTAAGTTCATCCTGCAGGCGGTTCAGTTATGTCTGTGTTTAAAGAGTTAACTTGAGCTTTATTTTCCTGTTAAAACCGTCTTTTGATGAAATGTGTACCAACCTGACAGGAGATTCACCACCACAATAAACAACTCAGTGGTTCTACTGTTAATCTACCAAACAAAAGAGGACGAGGCTCATGAATTACACTCAGCTGCACTTTTATCAGATACATCCATACAATCCAGTATGAAAAAAATCTTCCACCTTTAAAGGCAAGAGGTGCTAATGTTTTTGTTTTATTGGCTTTGTTCATGACTGAGGTGGTAGCCGGTGGGAGGGCTGTGCTGCACCGCATTAAGCTGGA